GCTAGACCCCGCTTGATGGGCGAGACCATGCTTGACAAGGGATGAGTGGGTGGTTTCAGCCCTGTTGTAGCATCATAGCTCTTATCCATGTCACTGCAGTGGCCCTCAAATTACGCTCTTGAATCTTTTCTCCGTTCTGGGCTTCATTTTTCGGGTTGCTCTTCCTTTCCTCATCCTGCTAGCCTCTATCCAGACTCAAGACATACACGCCATCTCATTCGAGTCACGTTTGCCCTTCGCCTTCCAACGTCCAGCCACGAACAGACACGGATGGTGAAACCCGCCCTATACAACGCCCGAGCTAATGGACGCGCATTGCCGGAATGAACTAGACGCACCCGCGCTTACAGTGCAGGAGTAATCATCCACGTTCAATGCCGACAAAGTTTGAATGACGCTGATTACACCAGCATGGCCCTCCTTTAAAATCTCATCATCTTGGAACATCTGTCTCAACAAATAAATCTCGCTTTGCTAGCATCTCACGCTGCTTGTTTGCAACAGTTGTGTATTTGAAAGATGCAAAAGAACCAGGGGCAATTCTTAGTAGTTATCTTACGATTGGTTTCACCTTGCCAAATGGGCCTCGTCCTAGAACTAGGACATTAAATTAGGTAAATTCGTCAAGGTTGTAAGGAGCCGGTACCTAATTGGCGTTCTTGGAGACATGATGTGGGATTTAGCGGACGTAGAGAACCTCCTTGTCCCAGGTTGATATTCCTGCGATGGTCGGGTAATTCCACAAAGTTTCACATCGAGTTTGTATCCTAAAAGACTTAGCTGCCCTCGCCACTCAAAAGCAGAGTAAGGCAACCGATCGGCTGTGTTAGAGCGGGTACTGCAGGCAGCAGGAGCATTCTGATGGGTAAGGCTGACGGGCTTCAAGGTGGAATACTGGAAAGCCTAGGTAGTTGGGTGGATAGGCCATCTAGTGCTTATTGTGCTTACACCAGGTTTGTTCCTTCACGTAGGTAGAAGAAAAATAGCTGAGGCGCTTTGGGCGATTGTGGCCCACAGTGAGAGCGAGTGTGGCTTGAGTGCTAAAGTCTCTGAAGAGGGACTTGTTTAGGATGGATTGGGATGGATTGACACGTTGATGATATCCGGAGGCAAATCACCGCTCATGGGACGTCCTAGATGTGCCCTGTGCTAGGGCCTGGACCCATGCTGAGGGGCGGTTGATCGGCTAGCTGGCCGATCTCTCAGCCCATTCACAGATGCTGGAGCCCAAGAAATGGATCAGCGGAATCGGCCTGTTGGCGGTGCATTAGCCTGCATCACATCAGCAGGGGCGGCTCATTTCTCCAGAGGGCGGCCAGTAACCACAATAAGCACTACGCTGCAGTTCTGACGCGCTTGATAATCAATCCTGGCTTGATTGGCACTTTGGAACCTGCGTCGCCTCTGCCTAGTCGGTTGATAGAGGATATGAGGGGCAGGAAAAGCAAAGAAGATGGGGAGACACAGCCATATCGGCTCATCACATACCAGCGCTTTTCCAGAGGCTTCGAATTCGGTCAATTCCATAGCACTCGAGACGCTGAAAATGCACATCACTAACGCCTCTAGAAACAGCAATGCTGAATGCTGAGAGCCATGGCAGTTCCAAACCGGCGGAGAAGAACACTACCGTTTCAAAATATCCCCCCCAGGCGATATTGGGGCAAAAGCGCCCATGTTGCCCCATCACCCGCCTTCTTCCCCCAGCCATGAAACTAAAAAGCAGACAGAAACGTAGAAATGCGCCAAAGCACCAGCGCTTGGAAAGCCGTCTGATCCGAGTCTTAGACCGGCTTCACAGATCCCTGCTCAACCGGCTCAGCTCACCTCTCGCTATTGGGGGCCAGTGCGTGGAGCCGCTTTATACATTTGCAAAAGCCGAAACCCCTGCTTACTAGGTGCTTTGGGACTAATGATATGGGGTCGTCGTTTCTTCTTCCTGTAACTGTAGTGATGTAAGGAGTATATATCATGGAACTCATCCCTCGATTTATGTTGGAATGCTACCTCTGCATGGGTGTATTCGTCTTCACATATTCCTTCATTCTCTGAACCTGTCGCAATGCATATCCAGTTATTGTCGGTAGGCCTTGCTGCCTTGGCCAGCGTCCAGCCAGCTCTTGGTCAGAGAACGACAAAAGGTCCCTGCCAGCAACTCGCAGAGTACCAGGGCCAACAGCTTGAAAAAACGAATTTCGAATATGTCGGCGATAGGGTCAACATCCAGCTGAATGCTGAAATGGCCTACAACTGCTCCATCTCCATCCCCATTGTACAGAGCGATGCGTTGAACTCGATCGCGTACCTGAAGAATTACACCAACTTCCTTACCACTCTCTCTTATCTGAAAAATCCCCCTAAGGCATATCAAAAGCCGGGTATTGACCTCTTGGCCCGCCTTGACGACATTGAGCAAAACATCAAGAACAAGAAGTACAACAACCAGTATGAGCTGGAAGTTGATGTCCAGGCAATCGTTCAAGGGACCAGTGAAGGTCACTACAACGCCAACATGGGTGGTGTGTTGGGTATCTTTTCGTGGATTCTCCCAGACTCCATCATCTCCCTGTCGAAGGATGGAAAGGAGCTGCCCCAAATCTATGCCGTCTCAGATATCATTCGCAACATCTCAAACCCGTCACCAATTACCCAGATTGAAGGCCAGCCTGTGTACCAATATCTCCGCAGCTATATAGACAAATTCGTCAGTTCTGGTACTATGGATGTCCACGCAGACTGGAACGCCATGGTTTGGAGTGGTGTCCAGTCTTTTGGTGCTTTTGGCACAAGTGTCACCTCTTCGTGGGCATATCGTCTGTTCCAATCGACAACAATCTACAATGGCAAATCTCTCAACATCACATTCGCCAACAACTCCAATGCCGAATGGATCTACAGTGCTGGGTCAGCCAGGGATCTGTACGGAGACAAGTACACCAGCCCGGAAAACATTTACAACACCCAAGTTGCCAACACATCCAACACATCTCCCATTAAATCCACCTCCAAGCGAGCTGACGGGCAGTACGAGGTCGTCGAGCTCGGCCCAACCAGAGATGAGGCTGAGAAGCGAGACCTTGAAATTCGACAGAACACCCAGCACAAGCCCTACACATCCGTACCCCTTTTCAACTACCCTAAGAACCCCGACACTCTCGAGGTCAACTTTGGTATCGGAGGCATCGTTTCTGGGTACATTCTGAAGGACGACTCTGTCGGTGTTTTGAGTCTTCCCAGCTATGACAGAGGATCCGCAGACTCAGGAACAACGGCTCTCAACTTCACCTATGCGGTCAACGACTTCATCACCAAAGCATCGAAGGCGAAGGTGAAGAAGATTGTCATTGATCTCTCTGGTAATGGCGGCGGTTCTACATTCCTTGGCTACGCCGTGTTCAAGCTCTTCTTCCCAGACATCGCACCTAGTCAGCTCGGTCGAGTTCGTGCTACTTCTTACATTAACACTCTGGGCAGTGTCATTACCGGCATCCTGACAGACCCGCAGATTCCTCAGAATAGCTCCATTTGGCAAAATGCCTACAGTCTCTCGACCACACCTGACCTGTCCAGCTATGAAAAGCTTGACATCAACGGTAAGAGCTTCCCCGCATGGAAGGACCTCTTTGGGCCCGTTCAGAGCTACGGTGACAACTTCACTCGCCCGGCCAAGTACAACCTATCAAGTCAGTCCATCACCAATGACCTTGACTTCCCCGTCCCTGGCTACGGCCCTGAACCTAGCCTGAACCTCCTGTCAAAGGACCAGCTGTGGTCTGGCGACGACATCATCCTGCTCCATGACGGGTTCTGTGCCAGTACTTGCGCCATCTTCTCCGAGATGATGAAGACAGACGGCGGCGTCAAGTCCGTCGCTGTCGGTGGTCTCCCCGAGTACGGAGCCATGCAGGGTGTCGCCGGCACCCGCGGAACTCTGCGCAGGGACTGGACCGACCTGAGCAAGTACATCGAGATTCTCCGATCTGTCATGAACGAGGTGGGCGACCAGGCGGCCGATCAGCTCAAGGCATGGGGCACATCGGTGAGCGACGTCGACAACCTCCCTGCCGATATCCAGACATCACCTCTCTACGTCAGTGGAGCCGTCAACGGGCTCGACATGATCCGTCCCTCGAGCCCAGACACCCCTCAGCAGTTCACCTACCAGGCCTCCGACTGCCGACTGTTCTACACCCCCGAGATGGCCAAGGATGTCACCGCCCTGTGGCGTGCGGCCGGCAAGGTCGCCAGCGGCGATCTCAGCGGTTGCGTCTCCGGCTCGACCGGGGCTCCTGGCGCGGGCCGCAACACAACCATCACAGACGATGTGGGCTACTCGCTCAACAAGACCTGGAACAACGTGAACACGACCACCGTGCCCGATAACAAGCTACCTGACGGAAGCAAGAGCAACGATAACAGCAACAACAGCAGCAGCGGTAGCAACGGCAAGGATGACTCTGGTGCCACCAGCACCTCGGTTGCCTTCAGCGGGTTGCTCGCGGTTGCCATTTCAGTCGCTCTTGCTTTATAGATAGATTGCGCTGCTTAATGATTTACGTCTTTCATGTATGATGCTATATAGTCAATGAAATAATATTAATAACCTCACATAAGCATCTCCCATTGATATTGCCTATCAAGGTCTGCCTGGATTAGAGAATTCTATGTTCTTAGGCGCCAGGATATGAAACAAAGAAGGAAACCAAAACCGATTGTAGATAGTTGAACCTCTCTCTTCACTATCTTAGATCAAGCAAAATTATTCTCCGTCGACAGAAATCGAGAATTGTAGGGTAGGTAAAGATAAAGAGCTTTTTGAAGGTCCGTTTTGTGGGGTTTACTAAATACTCTTACTCTCCTGGGATGGAGATCCGAGTCTCGGCGGCAGATAAGAAAGTCAAAAATCTGCTCGTTCAGCCTAACTCTCAAACAATCCAATAGACAAAGCCTCTCTCCCAGACAACACATTCATCCCGTGATAGCACTCAAATCAGCCTCCCATGGCCATCACTATCAGTCCCGCTACAACGGACCAGATCCCAGCCATTGTCAGTTTTGTCATGGCGGGGCGGACCAAGATGTTCCCCATGCTTGATCCACGCATCCCACTCGCCGATCTCGCCAACTTCCAGCAAACTTATCTTGACCACGCAGATGGCTTCTTTTTAACTGCTCATGCAGACGGTCAGCTGGTTGCGACCATTGCTTATCTGGCGTACGATCATCGGTTCCCGCACCTCAATCTCGGCCAGGAGCGCATTGTCGAGGTTGTTCGCTTATATGTCAGCCCCTTGTGGCGCCGAGGGGGCCTCGCGTCCATGTTATTCAGTCAACTCGTGCAGCAGGCTCAGAAAGCCGGCATCGAACGGTTTTACCTGCACACGCATCCTTTCTTACCTGGGGCCGTCCAGTTCTGGGAAAGGCAGGGGTTCACGTTACTCGACGTCGAGAAAGACCCGGTTTGGCGGACAACTCATATGACCAGATTGTGCAAAAGCTCTTCAACACAAGAGGAAAGTTGGATTGGCTCGTCTATTTCGGGTCAGCCTTGGGACAAGATTCAAAATGGTTGGAGTGACAGGGACGTCATACATCTCAACGATACGAATGTCTTGGCGTGTCTCGACGAGGATGGGGCGAGTAAGATATCATAACGTCGATCAATCATCTGATTCGGTTGTTTTTGGAGTTCATATCATGTTGTAGTATGTATCTAGTGTAAGTAGAAATGGCGTATATCAGTGAGATAAACATAGACTTAGCCGTCTCTTTAATGGGCAGCCTCCGGTTGATACCACGGCGCCGTACTATATAGTTCCCCATCGCAACTCGATTGAGAAAAAAGCTAAATTAGTGAGATATAACTACAAAATAGGTGGATGTTTTTACGCGAGCCAAGTTACTGAAGGAGTATTAAATATGCTCTCAATTCAGTTCCTGGTTAATAACCGGGAGTTTTCAGCTACCCTATAGCTAGTGGAATAATACCTTTCGATACCCCTTCCTCAGTATGTTCCAACAAGAATACCATGTGGCATTTGCTATTTAGTCTTATAGGATGGCATGAAACCTAAGAAATACTTGCGATCGGAAATCAGTATAGAAATTGTGCAGCAAGCACCCGAGACTCTATAAACGGCCACCCAGTCGTCTTTCGGTTGCTGGGATAACTACTCGTTGGTTGTGAATGCCTCATCTCGCGCTTTCAGACAGACCACAACGGATCTAATAGCTTCTAGTAACATGCCTTCTTACTTAAAAGCCTAGATCTGCCTACGTTAGATGAAGGCATATTACACACGTAATCCCTTGGTGAGCGATTAAGGGTGTCACGTGCAGAAGACTTCAGGCTTCATCCACGCTTACCTAAGCACGAATTTCTCAGGCCAGAAGCCAGCTCGAAACTCCAGGGATGAAATTGCGTGATCAATCCTACGCTCAATGCGACAATCCTACCCTGCCAAGCCTCCTCAATACACCCAACTAGGACTGCATCTCGCCATTGGTGACCATGCGGCCGACTTCCATAGGTCGAGTCTCCACTAGCCGCTCTCCCCTGGCCTTCAGGGCGGTCCGGATACTTGGAAGCGGTAGCAACTCGTGCGAGCGCCGGTGCTGGCTCTTCAATGCCGCCCAGACAACCACGGTTGAATCCATCGTGGTCGGCGGCGGACCGGGCGGTATTGCGGCTGTCGGCAACCTCCTCGATAGCCTCCCTGGCAAGCTACCCCAGCTCTGGGTTGATCCTCACTTTGCTGGCGGCCGTGTCGGCGCCAAGTACCGCGAGGTGCCGAGCAATACTAAAGTCGCCCTCTTCCTCCAGTTCGCCGAGGCCGTCGCTCCCTTCCGGCAGATTGTTGAGAAGACCCCAGCCCCCAATGCTGCGACTGTGCTGCAGAAGCTCGCTCAGGACAAGGGGTGTGAGCTGGGGCATGCTGCTGACCTCTGCTTGATGCTTACTGAAGGAATTCGAGAGCATTATCCTACCCAAGTGGAGCAGCATCGTGGCGAGGTCGAAAAAGCCGTGCTTGACGAGGTACGTGGTGTGATACAATCATGATATCGATTGATTAAACCCATTTTCATTGAGCTAACAAGAAGGAAACCGTAGCAAACTAATACTTGGACAGTGAGCCTGGACGATGGCAGGGTCTTCAACACCGACCGCCTCGTTTTATGCACAGGGTCCAGTCCAATCACCTCGCCTCTGCCTATCCTACAGCAATTATCTGACAGCACTCCGAGCACGGCCCTCACTCCCCTTCATCTAGACACTGCCCTGAAACCATCCCTCCTATCCCAGACAATTGATCCGTCCTCGCAGGCAACCGTAGGCGTTGTTGGTGCCTCTCATTCTGCCATCCTGGTTCTCATGAACCTGTACAAAATGGTCTCCTCTGGCTCCCACCCCAACCTTCGCGTGAAGTGGTTTACCCGCCATAACTCGCTCCGATATGCTGAGCAAAAGGACGGGTGGATTCTGTATGATAACACGGGCTTGAAGGGCGATGCCGCGCAGTGGGCTCGTGACTCTTTGGAGCAGGAGGTCTTCGACAAAAGCCCTGTCTCCAGAGTTGTCACTAAATTTTTGACCGGCCGCGAGAATGCTGCCGAAGAGTCCATCTACAAGGCCGAGCTGCCAAGCTGCACACATGTCGTCCAGGCTATTGGGTATAAAAGGAACACTCTGCCACGGTTAATGGTCAAGGAGAAGTCAGAGTTCACCCCTCGACATCTCACCATTGAGCACGACGCCCTGAGTGGGCGCTTTCGCCAGATAGACCACTCAGGCGAGAAAGGCAAGGTGTTTGTGCCCAACCTGTTCGGGGCTGGCATCGCCTTCCCCGAAGTGGTGACGGACCCTGCTGGCAACGTGGAGAGCGCTGTCGGGTTTTGGAAGTTTATGCGATTCCTCAAGCGTGTGGTCCCGGAATGGGTGGGCAAGCCTTGAATGTTGTCTTTTTATTTGAAGCAAATTTAAGCAGATATAAACCGAATAGATCATTAGTACCTAGCCAAAAGCATAGGAGTAGCTATATAGAGACTAATTTTTCCCTTCCAAGATCATCGGGCAGAACGAGATAAACAAGCGGGATTTTCAACTTTTGAGGCTCATGACATTGCAAGCTCTCACCACTTAAAGAAGCCATAGTAACTAGGAACAGGAAAAGTGCTGCTTGGGCTTGGTTGCGACATGGATGATTATTTTATTTTGAACATTCGGCCGAGCCTGTGTGTCGCCCGATCGACCCTACACAATCAGAAGCAAAATACACTGATATGAAGATGCCGTAAAATAGGCATTTTTAAAGTGTCCGGGAATCTTTCATGGCATCTTGATAACCCAGTAAATTCTCGTCGACCCTAACATGCTTGTACATCTTACGCAGCCACTTCACTCGCATGTGTTAGGCTGCGTAGCAACCGGAACGGCGCCAAGACCTCGTATGAAGAAGGTGGCTTGTATGAGTAATGCTACTATATTGCACTTTTCATCACGATTGGGGTTATTAGGGGAAGCAATGGCCGGGTGTCCTGACGATCATAAACTTCGGCCACTGGGGGGACAGGGGTATCGGACATTTCAATAAAAAGAATACCCCATAATGTATCAAGTCAGATGGACATACACTATGAAGGATTATCTATAGATGGAGAAAGATAAATCTGAGGAAGAGTTCGCTAATGGGCAGTTCACTTTGCAAGAGGTTGAGACCATAGTCCAGACATTAAATCGGTAGGAGGCTTCTGGGTCTTCTCACTCGGGACGTTTGATAGTTTAGAGGGTATAAGCTCCCACAGGTATAAGGACCTAAGCGGTATCAAGCCTGGATTATGGTTATTTGAGCCATCTGGAAGCAACTGGATTATTCCTTTAAAGGGTTCCACCAAAAACATAGAAAAAAAAACCATTCTAGTTTCCCTAAGGTTTCGAGGTATTCTGAAATACCAATATTAACGCATAGTGAAGAGGTATTCTTTCATCGAACCACTTATGCCTGCATAGTAAGCTAAGCTTAATTATAGAGAATTTCCCAAAAAATAAGTGCCGATGCTGTTTCTCAGCTTCGTATCAAGAAACATTTAACGAGGAATTACGATAAAGCTACGCGTGATAACTGTGCGGGGGACACGTGCTACTTTAAACCTGTGGGGTTACATTCCCCGCGACCTTCCGACTTCTTGGTAGCTCACGCTCGTCTCAATATGAGAGCTAGAGGCAGGGCGACAGGGGCTGGAGTTGCTGGACCGAGGAATTTGCGGGGAAGCATGCAAACCATCCCAGGTCATCATCCCATGTTTTCCATACCCGGATAGCAAAGTTTCTATTCGGTTTGATGAGAGACTGTGCTGTTATCTTGCCGTTTCAAGTGGACTTTCAGTGATTTCATGTGTTGTTCCCATAGATACCACCGGCGACAGCGCGACAACTCCTCAACCAACGCAGCAAAGAAACAAGAGGACGTCACTACGAACAGTGGATGAATGAGTCGCAAGAAGGCTGTCTCGACTTCTCAGCTGTAATCACCCGCTTCCGAGGTCCACATGTCATTTCCTCCGTCTCCTGTGACGCCCAGTCCCGGGGCTTCATCAAGTCCGAGCAATGGCGATAGCGTTGTCGCCTCACACATGGGCAGCCACGGTGTTCGGCCGCCGCCTTCAGACGCTCTAACGAAGAAGCGTGAGCGCGATAAGGTCAGCCAACGCAGGAAACGTCAACGCGAGCGCGAGTATACAGTCGGCCTCGAGGAGAAGATACGACGACTGGAGGACGAGCTTGCCAAATCTTCATCGTCAACGGCCTCGAACCATGACTCCTGGGCCGCTCATCCACCGGGTCCTCGCTATGGTTGTTGTGGCAGCCACAGTCAGTACGATGGCCCGGACGACGAGACACAAATATGCATGAAGCAGCCAACCGCGTTGGGGGAAGACAGCCCTACGTCTATCAACGCTGGGGCTGCCCTGGCCTCCATGTCGCAGGCCTCTGCATTTAGGCGCTGTCCGGTGCTTTTGGATGTGACGATTGAAGATGTCGACGAGATCAACGGCCAGGACTCTCTATCCATTCTTTCCATGGAGTCACCGCGTGCTAAGAGCTCCCATTCTTCGTCTAGTTTCGAATCCGTCCCATTCGATGTGTTTGAGAAAGTCTTGCGCGTGCCAGAATGGTCCCGAATACCTCTCCATAGCTGGTCACTTGGAAATACAGAGCGATCATGGGTGAGAGGGGACAGATTGCTGCCATTCATCCAGACGATGCGAGCGGATCCAAATTCAGAATCCATGTGCCCTCCGCAGCCTGCCGTGATAGATATTCTCTATGGTGGCTCGTCCCAGAACGTCCTGGCGAATTTAATCTCTACCGAGGTGGCGAAAGAAGCTCTACTCCCCCCGGAAAAGTTCGCGATAAGCTGGGCACTGTATCTTTATTGTAGAGTGAGTCTCCCCTGTTGGCTATGACTATCTAATTCCAGATCCACTTGGAAAGAATAATCGGTTTACTGACGCCTTTCCTTGACAGTGGATTATTTGGCCCTCGGAAAAGACATTCCAGTATCTCCCAAAGCACTTCCGCCCAACGGCACGTCAGCTGGCAGTACCACACCCATGGTGTATCGATCTACTTCAACATAATGAGCTTCGAGATAGGCTGATTATCAACGCCAACGAGTACGATGTGGATGAAGTAGTAGGGTTGTTTTTGATTACTGTTCGTCTACGTGGAGGGTTCAACAACAACAATTTCATCACTCGAGAGAACGGCGGAGATCTGCAGATAGACCCGAAATTCTACAAGCAATTCATGACACGCGAGGGCTGGGGAATCCTAGATAGATTCTGGGTACAGTATCCAGAACTTGTCAAAGGGATGGACCCGAGATGGAGGCTTCGAGAAGAGCATCTACTGCCCTTGTAGCTATTGGTGGGATGGACTATGACATAATGGATTTTTCACACGTCACGCTATGTGGGTAGTATCGCGGGATATTGGTAGGTGTTTGGAGCGAGCGTTTGGTCCTTTGTGTGTTATATATGGAGAAAAGTTGGCAGCCAAATGAAAAGAGAATTGATCGCTTAACTCTAGCATTGGCAAAACCAGAGAAGCCGTTCCAACATGAATCGATCTTGAAACGGGCTCAACGGAATTTAGCTGTCATGCTCTGGAGGTATGGGGACCAGGCGGTTTGGATGGATGTGCATGGTAGGCAAGCATCGGAAAAAATCGATCCGTTTGGACTGTTGGGACTTTGCTTGGCGCGGGGAACTTTAAGCCTCGGCAGACTTCGTCATGGAGCAAACCCCGAGGCGACTCAGCTTGAGAGATGGTGCGGGGGAGGCGAGTCAGCGAGGAGCAGGGTTTCATCCTGTCTACGAGGCTAGCTGGTGGGACATTTGGATGAGTCTGGGAATAGTTCATACTATACTTAGTGCAGAATTATGAAGATCTTAACAAGTGAAGTTAGTCTGCAGCTGAAGGTGCACTCCATTGGAAATTCCATCCAAATGGTTGGCTGATCGTAGAGACAACTTCCGGGGGTAGACTTGGGGACACCTACAACCATAGCTCAACTGACTCACTCATGGTGATCTCATAGCTTCATATGTTCTTCGTTCTCCGAGGGTAGATTCTAGCCGAACACTTGCGAAGACCCTCTCAGTCTCGTTCGGACTACCAATCGTCAGCATTGCTCCCTGAAGAGTATGGCGGAACACTGCGCGCATCTTTCCCATTGAGTGCAAGCTCGGTCGAATTTTCCTAAACGATGCGGAGAATGGCATGAAATGGAGCTGCAGTGACAACTTCTGCCAATATGACGGAATAAGGTAATTTGAGGTAGCTCTTGGCTGCGAGTCAGCTCCCTCCACCCTGATTGACAACCAACAGTCACATCTTTGTCTTGTAGTGTGAATATTATCCATAAAGAGGTGACGAGGGTGATGAGAGTACACAAGTACCATGGTTAAAATCAACATATATTCAGCCCATTTGCCATTCTCTGCCAATACTTGAATCAGTGAATGATTCAACCAACCCACCTCTACTGTGGCTAAGCATAACAATCTCCTCAACACTATGGAAGCTATGAATCGCACCATATCATCATCGCTAGGCACAGTGCTTGAGCAAATAAATCGCGTGGCAGACACACTTGGCATCCCAGAGTCTGCCTTTGCCAGTCTTACCAACTTCACTTGGAAATCAAAGAAGGGCGCTGCCGCCATCCTCCTTGGCTACCTACTTCTCGTCCGTGCCTTGAGATTTCGCCGTGAGAATGCAACCAAGAGAAAATTCAAGTTTACTGATCGGGCCAGCTTGGCTCGAATGACCACGGCCGAGGCTCAGCTCATTCTCAAATCTCTTGCCACCCTTGAAATGCCACAATTGCAGTTCCTCAGCCTGCAGTTTGGACCGTTCAAGGTATTGAAAATCTCCTTCACGGATCGCGGGGAGTGAATGACGGCTGACTATGGAGCGTCAAGACATATGGCGTTGAATCAATTAGCAAGTTACTCGTGGCCACCCGGAACTTGGCTGATCCCGAGAACAGCCCCAAAAGGTGAGAGCCATATATGTAAGAAACACATACCTAGATAAATGTCTGATGTTTAATATCAGATACGAGGACACCGCGGTCATCATCAACGAGTTCATGGCCTGGGATCCTTGCGCCGAGCGAACCGTCAAAGCAATTGCACGAATGAACTTTCTTCATTCCAAGTATATTGCAAGTGGGCAGATCTCCAACGACGACCTCCTATACACCCTATCGGTCTTTGTTATTGAGCCAGCTCGATTTGCTCAGCGGTATGACTGGCGACCCTTTAACGATATGGAGTACTGTGCTCTTGGGGTCTTCTGGAAAAGCATTGGTGACGCCATGGGCATCAACTACCACGGTTCCCTCCCAGGTGCAGAGAACGGATGGAAGGATGGAATTCAGTTTGCAGATGAGGTAACAGCCTGGGCCAAAGCGTATGAAGTTGCCCAGATGAGACCTAATCCTCTCAGCCCGAAGCCAGCCCATGCACTTCTGCCCATTATCACATACTGGATCCCGTCATTTGCTAAGCCTTTTGTGACGGACTGTGTGTTGTCTCTGATCAATACTCGTATTCTGGAGGCATTTAAGTAAGATATTAATGTGCTGCTTCCAAGTGTGGTTATGAACTGACATTATGTAGGCTCCCGGAGCCTAGCATCACGGCGATTGCTGTAACACACAGTGCTCTTGTTGCACGACGATTCGTTATTCGATATTTGATGCTCCCCCGCATCTTTGAAATCAAAGAACTTGGTGACCAAGACCCATCCACCGGCCGTTATCTTCTTCCCCAATCGCATGGGAATTGGCCGTTCTATGTCAAGCCTACTCTTTGGAATCGGTGGGGTCCAGTTGCCTGGGCGACAAAGTTCTACGGAGGGTATGTACCTGGAGATAAGCCCGCCGAATTCATGCCTCAGGGATACACGTTTGAAGACGTAGGTCCTGTAAATAGGGCGAACCAGGGAAAGGAGGAGATGGAGGTAGACCTGAAGAGGCTGAGAGCAAGTAAACGGTCCGGGTGTCCCTTCTGAATTCCATCCAAAGATGGGAGAGAACACTTCTCCCAGAAACGCTGGACTCTGACTTGAGTATAAGGCTTGATGAGATGTGCGGAGTTGTTAGGATTTATGAATGTTTATTAATCAATTAGCCTTCAAGGCTTGCATCGAGTCAGTTGACACGAAACCGCTATTATCCGAATATCTTACAGATCAATCACTTGGACTTAATGTTGCATTTCTGTGCATGCCGCTGCGGGCAACATCTTCGCCGAGTTCGCGCGATTAGATTGATGAGACAGGAGCCCCAAAAACCGAGAATTCGCTAAATAGACATAACATATGGTGAAAGCGGGTTACTGGTATTTTTGCAAGAACGGCTTCTGGCCATGAATCGGCTGCATGAATCTCGACAAATCTCGCCCTCCCTTCACATTTGAACTTAGACATAGCCGAATAACGATCACAGTTCCTCAACACGGGCGTGGTTGGTCTCGGCCAAATGGGCAGAAGACTATTTTCTTATTATGATCTCTGTGAACGATCTCACTTGGCATCCTAGATTTGTTGTTTTTGTTGAGCTCATACGGGTAAGTTGCCTTCTGACTCTTTCATGCAAGGCCTTGAATGCTCTTAGTTCATATTTAATCACGATTAAATCCACCACACTCCCTGATAGGCATTCTCTCTTAGCACAAGGTTGGTTCATAAGGTATATAGATATGTGGGTGAGAGTGGGATATAATCAGAGTGTTCAAAAACTCGGCATTGCTAGGCTACAAAAAAAGGAAGGAAGAGAATGTGCTCTCTTTTTAGTTGGATCAGTTTTTAGTATTATTTAAATAGGGACCAATGGAGCCAATGCAAATATTCACTTGAGGAGCGCATAAACCAGATAGGGAGACACAGATTCTAAGAAGGTATTTTCAGGAGAAAACAACATACAGGGGAAATCAAATAGAATTCATATTCAATTCTGAACTAGCTAAGGATCTAAACTTCTCACAGCTCCCGCAGGAGATAGACAAATGTTGCTTTGAAGTGTGATCATCCAGGTGGTCTTGGGGCGTTAGTGGCTTGGAGGGCTGAAAATCTCATTCACCAAGGCCCAGAGGCGGACGTCGTTACACTGATCGGGTGACACAGCATTTTCCGGAATAGCCTCTCGCAAATATCCGAGGTCTGGGATTATCACACTGAGCTTATTTTTGATAGCCTCGACATGAACGCTGACCTCGGTCTGAGTATTGATGATGGCATCAACTTGTTGTACGCAATTTTCGGAGGCAGCAGTAGACTCAGGGCGTTTTTTGGAGCTAGGTACCATGTCGTTGAGGGCGGTAACCTCTGTTTCGAGGCCCTGAAGCAATGATTTCAATTCGGAAAATTGAGCGGAACTCATAATTGATGGAATCTTGAGGTCAGATACCAAGTCAAGTTTCGTGTCAGTGTGTGTGGTCTTTCTGGCAGAGAGAACGGTTTGCAGATTGAGAGTACCGGCGTCGAACTTGAAGGGCAGTTGATGGAAGTGGTGTTTGAAAGTGAGAGAGAGGGTGATATGGAGGGCTCGTATTTAAACATAAACTTTACCTCTTACCCGTATATGTTTTGATGAAGCATCCTTAATGCTTGTCTGTTTGTCGTGTGATTCATGAACATTTTTTGGTCTGTGAAGGGAGACACTCACTGACCTTTCCATCGGGAGCACAATGCTCTGGTAGACTGAATCACGTACTTTGAAACTAAAATGCTTCATCATACATGAATTCTTTTGTTCTAGGACAGCAGGCAATTATAAAGAACATCATGTTCACATTTATTTGTCTGGTCGCCTGACTTGGGATTTGTTTCAGTGACTCTAAACAGGACAAAGTCTGTCTGTCACTGAAACGGTTATGAATTGGCAATGCGACATCTCGGTTCGCTTCTGTTCAACGAGTTTGTTTACACTTTTTTTTTTTACCTTTCATTACTACAAATTGTACAAACAGATACGGGATGTCACTGGCCTGCGATACAATAGTAGGTGGACAGTTGTGGTAATCTGGGCATCATTTTGTTATGTACGCTGTGTTAGTTTCAAAAGACAGGACCGTGCTTGATCATGAGAGTTACTCATTATTTTAAGGGCGATTCCTAGCTTACTCAAAGGACCTCTAGAAGATTTTTGTTTGATTGCTCCTGCTCTTGAAGTGGCTGCGCACAATCGACCGATAGTTTCCCGCAAGTATATACGGATGCACAACAGGGAGGTGGTGTAAATTTATCACACTGAAATTAAGGTTATTGCTCTGGGTATGTTACAAAGAGATAGCATAAGGATTTGCCGACTAAAATTTCTTGGGCAATTCACGATTGCTCGGGGTATTGTAGCATTGTTGGACTGGACTGGACCACCCAAAATTGTGTCACTAGCCAGTTCGATCCATCGACCCAGGTCATTGACTATCACAATGAATGTCCTTGACCTATTCAACAACGGACGCACGTTACCCAGGTTGATTCCGTCATATGGGAGAACTCCTTTGTCTTATATTATTTAAGGCACGCATCCTTGTACCAAGATAGCAGGGTGAAGCAAGGATCTGAGACTTGCACAATGGCAAGAAAAACAGCAAATATGTGCCATGTGATAGAACTCGGGGCCTTTTACAAATGCACATCTTATCTCCTTAATAATTTGCTCACATAGAATGGGTGATTGCGAGGACATGGCACGGATTTTTTTCAGCTTTCGTGTAGGCATTTCAGAACCTCCATCATGTCGCGTATCACTGCTTAATCAATTTAAACTATATAGAATGTAGTCTTTGGTTGATAATAATTAGATTTCTACAACGGATACTAGAGCCATGGGACTCCGAAGCGTATAAGGGAGCTTGCGAATGGGTGGTGAGGTCAATTTCACAAGATATGGCAAGAGAGTTGCCAAAATTACACGTTAGACACTAAATATGAAAGAAACGTTTCTGAGTTCCCCAATAATAGCATGCATTGTAATACGCTTCTCTATTTTTTGGCGGTGCCTGGTCGATTTACACCGGTGAAGATGTGTAGAACAGTAGAGGAAAAGTACTTTCTCCTTCATGCCGTAAAGAATTCGCGGCTATATGCTTCCTTCCCACCTGAATTTCTGCTCGAATCAGGGCATCAGATACAGCCGCCACCAGACTGCAAGTAGATACGTACGTAAGAGAAAGAGAATAAAGTTCAAGAGCAATGGGAGCTGCCAGAGCCCGACAACTCAACACAATGAATAACTGCAGGTAGATAATGGACCGGATGTCATTGTAGAGTATCTAAGAGAGAAGGTTCTTTTAATATTAGACTCTTGAAGGTTGCAATGTTCATATCTTCAATGAGTACCTACTTATATAACAGCGATAATACAACTTCAACCGTTTACTTAGAAGCCTGGAATCTGTGGCTATGTGATGGATTGGCAGAATTAGGTGTTGGTCATTATACAATTCATCATTCACCTTCAGCGATATAAGTCCTCTCTGTTGGGTAGTTTGTAGTTAAGGTAGGCTCAACCGACGTAACATTTGGCTTGGTCTTGTGAAATACATCTCTCATATCTATGTTTATAAGGCATTGGTTCTATAAGTAAGGGATGAGATGCATCTTATCTCACCCGGGGGACTTGAAATTCTTGACTTGGATACCGACCGCTAATTCCGTTTATATGCCATCAATCAAAGGACTCAACCCCTGAGCAGTCCCAATCTTCGCTTCAAAGTAGAATCTAAGCCTCTCGACCAGCTTGCGGTCAGCCATAAACCTAGCAAACTCAGCGGGGTTGGTTGCCTTCTCCTCGCTCAGCTTTGGAAATCCTTGTGGCGCAGGAATATCTCGGCGAACGCTCCATCGCCCGGGCAGTCCTTGATACTCAGGGCTGAGGAGGAAGTTGTGGAGAAGCTTGGCACCCTCTGGATGGGGAGCATCCTTCAGGATGGCGGCAGTCTGAGGCCAGCTCACATACTTGCCCTGTGTGGGCTGAGAGAAGTTGAGGGGCGCAGTGGGCACAAAGCCACCAGAAGCGGCGAAGGAGGCGGCCGATGTGCTGTTCTCTTGGCTGACGAGGGTATATGGAGTTCTGGTGCCCCGGACCCAACGCGGCTTCTGAGCAATCAAGGCATCTAGCCACTTCTCTCCGTACTGCTGCATGCTTCGAAATTGTTAGCGCGATTTGAATGCGGTGCCTCGGTTGCGGTCATGGAACTTACATTAGATAATGCGCAAATAAGACCGCATCATCGTCGTTGGAGTAGGTCAAGACGAGTTTCTCTTTGAATTCAGGCCGGAGCCAGTCCTCCCATTCGACCGGAGGGTCAATACCAGGGAGCTTGTTTGTGTTCCAGGCTCCAGACCAAAAGAGGACGTACACGCCGTACCAAGCTGCCGTTTCGTCTCTGAACGCAGGTTCAATTTGATCAAAGCCATTGGGAGCATAGTTCAGAAGTGCACCTTGTTGGGCCCATCGAGGGTAGTCGTGAAGTGTCTGGAGGATGACACTATCGACGTACACAGCATCGCCTCCAGCTGCCAGCTGTTGATCAATGTATGCGTCGTGGTACTTAGACAGATCAACCGTCAAGTTGAGAGTTATGCCAGGGAACTTGGATTCAAAGGCATTCTTGAGGGCGTCTTGGCGGCCTTTCTCGTCGCCGCCATGCCAGAGGGTGACTACGCTGCCCTCGGCTAGTGCCGCTTTGTAGATCTCATCCAGTGAACGAGTCTCATACTCGACGGGACTATTGAACCCAAGCAATTGATCATAAGCCCGGGCGAGGCAAAGGAAAGTGGAGAGGATAGACAGGGAACTGATCATGTTGGTAAACTTTTCAGCCAGCCAACGAGGAATGAAGATAGCTTTCCAAGCGTGTGAATTTCATTAGTGCTCAGTAGTATTATATATTTCTATCTATACTTACTCTCACCTTTTCTTTTCCATTAAGATTGCGTGGTTTCATGGGAAGAAACTTCATCCCACTCGCTATGACTAAGAACCAGCGTAGCAATGCTCGTCTCCCGCATTGCCGAAGCTGGCCATCCCACATGCTGAAACTGAGGAAATATTCGCCATGGCTGAGCCTAATGACGCGGTCCACCAGCTTTGACCGCATTGAGTAGGTCTTAATAAAGAATAGCCAGTAAGTTTGCCCTGAATCCCCATACCCTAGGGAAAATCGGTCTTGGCACAATTCATGTCAAGATTTCTAATTCATGTGTAATCTGATGAGGGAAGCAGAGAGACACGTATGCCGTCTCCGTGACTGCACACTCGCCGACCTTCCAATAATACCTCATAGTTGGAAATCTAGCTATTAGCCATTCTACAAGGATCGTGCATCTGCCTAGGCGGGTGTCATACGATGTTTTATAGCACTACAAAACTAATGCGTTCAACGAAACCTTAAAAGATGAGCTGCAGATGAATAATGTTAAACGTTAGATGAATTCAGCCCAACAAATTGAGGGCACTAAGGCCTTAACACATAAACTAAGATTTGGCAAACCATCAAGCCAATGGAAGATACCAACTGCTTCTGCAACTTTTTCTTTTTCTCCTTTTTCTTTCCCTTTGTTTTACTCAACACAGTAAGCCAAAGTGATACATCCCAGCTCCATCAAGCAAGCCTTTGCCACGTCAGAGGGACTGCAATATGTTGGACTTCGAGGATTTCTTAAATCATGTCTTCAGATTTAACATTGTTGTAATATTATTCTTCGCCTATTTGAGCTTCAACTTGACTTCTTATAGTAATACTGATTCCCCTAGCAGCGGAAGGCGACAAAACTCATAATCAAGAAGTCACAAGCATGTTAATATCGACTCATCGATGGCTAGAAGAGGAAAGGTGATAGTGCTATGAAGAGTATGCGTTGTAATAGACTTTTCCAAGAAAAAGAACGTTTGAGACTACCTATTCAGATTGACCTTGATATAGAATAAGAATTCACCCGGCAAGCATGCTTGTCTCTTATACGCTCACTCATTTACAAATACATTAACCAAAGTCCCGACATGCGGTAGGATTTCTACGGCAAACTCGTCACCGTCACGCAGAGTCTCCTTGGGTTTTCTTCCCATGCCAACACCTGCTGGCGTTCCTGTGATTATGATTGTACCAGGTAGTAGCGTCGTGCTCTGGGATAAGAAACTGACCAATTTCGGTATGCTGAAAATCATGTCGCTTCTATTATGTCAGCTTGGCTTGTGAGTAGAGTTTCTGAAGTTAAGAGACATACCTGATACCACAATCCTGAAGCACTGTGTTGTTTTTCAATCCTCGAATCCAGAGTTTGGCTGGATCTGGGATTATAGATGTTGATACCAATGTGGGACCTACCCGAGTAGTCAGTGAGCTGTGTTCGTGGCCAAAGTGTTGGATATAC